ATTGTACCAGACATCAAAGTATCTGATAAAGCTTAAAAACATGAAAACAAATAAATATTGAGAATATGATTTAAAAAACGAAGAAATAAAGGTAACTTTAAAAAGCATGGTGAGGGCAGCAGCCTCCCTGAGGAAGTGATATTCAAAGTAACATCTGAAGAACATTGACACTGAGCTAGCTGTAATAAATGCTGAGGGTGGAACAAACACTCCAGAGAGAAGGAACCACACTCAAGAACCCAGAGGTGGGAAAGAACTAGGCACATAAGAGGAACAGAATGGAGGCATGGCTGAAGGATAGTGATAGAAGGGGAGGATGGTCTGAGAAGAAGGTAGAAAGTAGGCAACATCCTGATCATGTGGGGACTTTATAGGTCATGGTGAGGAATTTTAGTTTTGTTTTAGTTTTTAGTTTTTTGTTTTCTTAAATCTCTCTGGGTACTGTTTGGAGAATAGATTGCAGTAGGTGATGAGGCAAAAGTAGAAGCAGGGAGACTAGTTAGAAGAAGGCTATAGTAATAGCCCAGGAAAAAGTTGACAGTGGCTTGGACTAGAGTATTAGTGGAAATGGAGAGTTGATGGATTCAAGATCTATACTGCAAGTGGAGTTGACTGGACGTAGTAGTGGATCAGACATGGGGAGTATGAGAAAACAAAAAGATGTTGGCTAAGTTTTAGCTTAAGTAAATAGATGCAAATTAGAGCTGTTTACTGAGATGGGAAAAGCCAGAGGAGGAACAGCTTATGGAGGGAAATTGAGAGATACATTTTAAACACTTTAAATTTAAGATGTCTGTTTGACACCTAAGTGAAGATGTTAAGTGGGCAGTTGCCTAAACACATCTCGTGGTCAGGAGAGAGATGAGGAGTGAAAAATATAAGTTTAAAAATCATTAATATTAGAGAATATTTCAAGCCATGGGAATGGATGAGATCACCCAGGGAGAGAATTGTATTGGAGAAACCTGAGTCTGGAATCCCACTAACATTTAAAAATTGAGAATAGAGGAAGGAACCAGCATTGGAAAAGAAGCAGCCAATGAAGTAGAAGAAAAGCAGATTTTGATGACCTGGAAGCCAATAGAGGAACATGTACCATGAAAGAAAACTGAGTCAAATCTGCTGAAATGTTAAGAAAATTAAAGATAAATAAATGTGTACAATGATCTGACTTATCTTCTCCTAGAATGTGCTACTCCTATGTGGTTCTATAGTTCTATGTACATATTGTATAGTATCATTTACCATACCTTATTATAACTGTTTTAATCATCTATGGCTCTCATTAGATTGTAAGCTGCATGAGGACAGAGGCCATATCTGATTGCATCACATTTGTAGTACAGTGACTGGCATATAGTAGAATCTGAATAAATATTTTTCGATGGTGAATGAATGAATGAAGAATGAATGAACCAAAGATATACAAAGGCTATTGACAATTCTTCTCATTTCCAAATGAAAAATAAGGATTATCTGACTCCTGAATTTTAGGGATTTCATAAAAATTCAATAATCAAGATCTCTAGACTGAAGACTATGAGATTGGTCTTTATTCACAAAAATAGTACAAGAACAGGGTGAGAAAGGAGGAGTCATTCCAAAAACTAGGACTTATATACATTAGAAGTAGTCCATAAACTCAACCTCATAACTACCACAAAACCTGTGAGATTGTTCTTGTTCTCTTACAGAAACTGTTAGAGCTGTGTATTATCTCTCTGTGGCAATTTTCCCCATTTGATAGTGTGCTATATGTTCATTGTTAACTTGTATAATTCACCTGTATAATTATTCTTGGGATTTTTTGCTGGGGGCTTGTTTTGGGTGCAAAGGAGCTACATGAATGTGCACCCTATCATGCTTCAACCTTCATCAGTCAGAACCTACTTTGAGTTATCTACTCACTGAGGAGTCCTCACATTTTTGCAGTTCTTCCTATCGAAGGAGGAACTGGAGTTCTAGTTCTTTGTGGTATTCTCTATCAAGTTTATACAGACAAATCATAGTTAACTCTAAGTCTGACCTAAGTTCTTAAGAGCATAGAATCTATCTGAGAATTGACCTGAATTTCTTTCAATGTTTGGACTATAATGTAGACTACTTGTTTTTTCCCAGTCTACTTAAGTATTAGTTTCCTATGGCTGCTGTAACAAATTATCACAAACTGAGTAGCTTAAAACCACGCACATTTATTTTCTTCCAGTTCTGGAAGTCGGGAGTCTAAGATCAGTTTCACTAGGCCAAAACCAGGATGTCTGTAGGGCTGCATGCCCTCTAGAGATTGTAGGGTCTCCTTGTCTTTTCTAGCTCTGGTGTCTGTCAGCATTACTTGGCTTATGGCTACATCACTCCAATCTCTGTTGATTCCAAAATTACATTGCCTTCTCCTCCTCTGGGTGGGAAGCATCTCCCTTTGCTTCTTTCTTATAAGGATACTTGTGATACTCTTAGGGCCCACCCATATAGTCTCCCCAGATAATCTCCCCATCTCAAGGTCCTTAATCACATTTAAAAAGACCATTTTCCCAAATAAGGTAACATTTACAGGCTGCAGGAACTAAAACCTGATATTTTTACATCTGTATTTACCCACTCTATGCTCAAAAGTATGCCAACCTACTTATTGCAATCCATTAAAATTTACCATATACTCCTTAAATCTCAATGTAAGCGAAACCTGGAAAATTATTTTGATTTTAAAAATTATTTTATTTTACAATAAGAAAATTTTAAATTGTTTTGATTCGGTAATAAATACAAAATACTGCATTTAAGTTGTAAGATGACCAAGATATTAAATGATCTGGGATCCATATAATTTGAACAGTGGTTGAAAGGATTGGCTACATTGAAAACAGAAGATAAGAAATGAGAAGGCTCAAAGCTATTTGATTAAAAAATCAAATAGCTTTCTTCATATGGATGAAGATGTTTTACAGAGAATAGGGATTAGATACATGCTGTATAAATTGAATCAGAAACAATTAATTGAGGGTGGAGAGAGGCAGATTTCAATCCAATATGAAGAAGAACTCAGAATATACAATGGAAGGGATGTGGTGGTATGCATCTGTAGTTTCAGCTACTCAGGAAGCTAGGATCACTTGAGTCCAGGAGTTTGAGCTTGCAGTGACCTATGATGACACCACTGTACTCTAGCCTGGATGGCAGAGAATTGCAAAAATGTGAGGACTCCTTGGTGAGTAGATAACTCAAAATAGATTCCTGACTGATGAAGGCTGAAGCATGATAGGGTGCAAATTCATGTAGCTTCTTTGCACCAAAAACAAGCCCCCTGCAGAAAATCCCAAGAATAATTATACAGATGAATTATACAAGTTAACAATGAACAAACATATAGCATACTATCAAATGGGGAAAATTGTCACAGAGAGGTAATACACAGCTCTAACAGTTTCTGTAAGAGGAGAAGAACAACTTCACAGGTTTTGTGGTAGTTATGAGGTTGAGTTTATGGACTACTTCTAATGTATGTAAGTCCTAGTTTTTGAGATAGTGTCTCAAAAAGTCAGAAAGAAAAAAAAATAAAAGTCAAATTTGATTATGCAAGTCCCCTTGATTAAAATCCTTCATTTGCTTAAAGATCTATTCAGTATTGACCCCTGAGTTCCCTGAGGGTCTCTTTTGGAGTTCCTCTTTCTCTGCATTCTTGTCACACTTCCAGTTGCTCAACTCTAGACGCTCCTTCCTACCTCAAGCTATTTACATGGTGTTCTGCTTGCAAAGCTCTCCTCTCCATTTTGCTTAGGTTCCTTCTACCTGAAGACAACTTTCTCCAGCAAGTCTTCTCTAGCATGCTATACCAGTTGGGTTCCCATATAAACTTGCAAAATACTCTGAACTGATTCATCAAGATGAAAGCATTCACTTGTATAATCGACTATCTCTGTCCCCCTTGCTAAAATGTAAGCTCTGTGAGGACAATGTATCTTGTTCAGAACAGTGCCTGGCATATGGTGGGCACATTCCAATATTTGTTGAATGAATGGCCTTTTTTTTTTTTTTTAACTGGTTAAGTGTGAAAGAAATCTGATGAAAAAAAAGTATGTTTGCCTAATGACACCAGATTTCTAGCAGCAAAATTTCAGAATACCAATGTGGTTTCTTGATAGAGTGTATTTCATGAAAGAAAGGAGAAGTAGATGAGGAAAAAATAAGCAATCATCAAACAAGCGAAGCTCATTAAGGTGGAATTAACATTGAATATCAGAAGCTTCACAGAAGACAGAAAAACTTAGAGCCAGGGCATAATGGCTTAAGATATATTATCCAACCACTCATTCTCAAATATTTATAGAATGTCTATTATGTGCCTGGCAGTTGAGGTTAGGCATTCAAAGGTGACCAGGTCTTAAACAGACCAAACCAATCTACAGCCTAATGAGGACAGAGAAATACTTAGCAAAGTAATTTCCATGAAGTGTGGTAAATGGTGATACATAAGGTAAATTGGTGTTACAAAATACCTAACTTAGTGGGGGATAGAGGGATGTGGGGGAGGATTGGGTGGTCATAGAAGCCTTTCCGGTTTAAAGTGAGACCTGAAAGAGTAGGAGACCAGTAACTGGAAAGAGTTCAGTAGCTATGATTTGGTATCTCACAGGGAAAGAGATTCAAGGGCACGTTGGCCGATGTGGCTTACAGCGACCCCTGGTGTGAGAGGTCCTCGTCCTTGTGAACATCCCCTGGGCAAGAACGATAACATTCTGCACTTCATTTCATCTGAGCTGCATTTGCCTCAAATTACTGGTTCCTTATTCTCTCAGGCTCCCGGCAACTGCACGGCGGTGGTGGCCCACAGAAAGCTCGGCCCTGCCCCAGACTGCCCATTGGCACCACACTCACACCCAACTCCACCCCGGGAAGAAGCCCCAGAAGCTCCGCCCACGTCCAGGCTCGTTCTTCTGGGCCGAGGCGCAGGGGCTGTCCGGGCCGGGCCCCGGCAGTCACGTGACCCGAAGTGTGACGTAGGAGGAAGGAGACGCCATTAGAGGGGAGGCGGAGAGGGAACGCTCTTCGTCTTTCCTCCCGTGCCTGACGTGGTGTCTCGGGCCCTTCATTCTCGGACTTTCCCTCGGCCCTTCCAGGCCTCGCCCGGACGAAAGAGTGGAGACGGCGCCCGGGTCGGCGCGGCCGGTGCCGGAGGGGGCTGAACCCGTCGCGGCTGTGGGGAGCTCGGCGCGACTCTTGGGCGCGAGCAGCAGGGAAGCGACGGGATGGCTGCGGCCGGCGGCGGCGGGGCGGCGGCGGCGGGCCGAGCCTACTCGTTCAAGGTGGTATTGCTGGGGGAAGGCTGCGTGGGGAAGACGTCGCTGGTGCTGCGCTACTGTGAGAACAAGTTTAACGACAAGCACATCACCACTCTGCAGGTGCGGACCCCGGGGAGCGGGAGGGGGCGTCTCAGAGCCCCTACTCCTCCGGGGCTGTGAGGACTTTGCCGCCCCAGTCCCCTGGATCTGGGCTGGCAAATCTCAGGTCTCTCACCTCCGCCTTCGGATTGCCTTTCTAGATCCGCCCAGGAGACTCGCTGGGTCGAGGCAGCCTGTAGACGTGAGAACAGGCTGTTGGGAGGGAAGTGGATGGGCCCTGAGCAGTCCCCAGTGTTCCCTGTGGTGGCTGCGCACGTCGTGGAATCCCCATCCGTGGGCTAGTTTTTCCCCTTTGATGCGCTTCCGCTTGGGCCTTAGGTGTCATCAACCCTGCTGTCTCTGAGTGTTACCCCTTTTCTTTCTTTCGGAATTAGGAACTTAGCTGAGGATTTCAATTTGCGAACTAGGTGATATGTAACTTCAGCACTTACTGATGACTAAGTATTTATGCAAGTTCCATTTTGTCCCGTCTTTGAGTAACAGGAATGGCAAAATAGCCATCTCGGGAGGTTTTTTGAAATGACCGCTTGCCGGTGCTGGTTACGCAGTTTCATCGCAGCCTGCGTGTGTCGACTTGTGGGTCACTCATATTCTGCGAGGTCGGTCGACCCACGGCGAAACGTCATGTGAATACCGGCCAACAATTGGCCCCCAAACTAAAAGCTTAGCTGCTGCTACTATTCATTTACATATAATAAAAGGCCAGCTTTCTTCTGCAGTTACATTGGAAAGGTGTTAATGTAATCACTGATTGAGAGTGAAGCTAGACCTTTGAGGGAGTTGTAGTCTCCCTGCTCTCCCAAAGAAATCATTTTGCATAGGTTAGAAGAAATTTATCCTACTAATCTGAGTTTATCAATTTGGTCAGAGGCAGTAAAACCTAATAGACTTTTGAGCCTAATTGTCTAGGTTCATGTCCCACCTCCATCCATTTAACTAGCTGTGTGAACTTCGGTTAAGTTACCTTAACCTGTCTATGCCTAAGTTTCTTCTGTTAAAATGGCCATAATAGTAGTATATAGCTCATACCGTTGTTAGGATTACTATACGTAAAAGCACTTAGAACCTGGCCCAGTGTAAGCTCTCTATCTTTATTATTACTGCCCCAACTTGCACAATAGATCTGAATTAGTGATCGTGTAGTGTGCAAGACCATGGACGCTTTTTAATAGAATGCATAATCTCCTAATTGTGACATTTGATGTTTGATGCTATTATTAAACTACTGAGTCTAGAATTTACAAAGATGCTCTGGTTCTGATTTCATGTTCTATTTTTACTCCTCTGTTTTCATTCCTATGTAAAGCATATCTGAAAAAGTGAATGTCGGGAAACTGCATTTAAAAAAAATCCTTGAACAAGAATAGTTAACAAATTTAATAATGAGTTTTTATTGTTGAGTGTCACTAGTGAGAGCCTTGTATTTTAGATTAAGGAAATTCATAGGTTAAGTATCTATGATCGTTTGGGAATTTAGAAAATCATTTAGATAAAGTAATGATAGTAGCTAGCATTTAGTGAATTCTTACTGTGTTGATTATTTTACTTGCCTTCTGTCACTTAATTCTTATAACAGCCTCTAAAGTGTAGATAGTTAGCCCCATTGTACAGGTGAGGAAACAGGCTTAGTTAAGTGGAGTAATTTGCTGACAGTCATATTGTCATAAATCATTGGTGCGGTGGTGCCCATTGAACCCCCATCTGACTTAAAATTTTGAGCAATTAAGTAACATTTCCTCTGGATATTGGTAAACAGCCTCCCTGGTGGTTTCGTTTATGCCAAGATCTAAAAGAGAAAACTATTGTAATTGAGATCTTAATGTTTTTTTTAAAAGACAATTTACCCTTTCAACTTAAAAATTATACTTTCATTATACTTTCATCCTCAAAGCTAAAAGCAGGTTAAAGATTTTTAAATATATGAGAGAAGCCACTGCAGGCCTACACAGGAGAGGATGAAGTTATAGTAGCTCTCCAGTACTAAAAACACAGCAGTTCTAATTTTAATATTAAATATATAGGCAGCTTTCACACAATCGGTATCTGGATTTTATTACAGAATTAAAGATTTTGTTGTATACCAGTGAATGGTAACAGCACTGTATCTAATTCTTTCTCTTAGATATCAGTTTACCTCATCTTTCTTAATTTTTTCAGAGAAATTTGATTTATGTGCCTTATAAGACATAACCCTATATAATTTTAATTTCCAAATAGAGAGGAGATCATGCATCAGAAGATACGGGAGGAAGCGTTCACTTTTTTTCTTGTCAACAAAGTACCTCTCTTTGTAAACTACTTTGTGTTTTGCAAAGTACATTCTCATGCATTTATATTTCAAAAAATTGTAGGACTGATAGGAACCTAAGTTAGTTTATGGTTCACTGTTTCAGTCTTTCGTTTAATATTTCTGTCAAATGATTGTCCACTTTTTTTTAACATCTTGGAGGTGAGATGAACTGATAGAGAAAATGGAAAGCTCACAATGTCCTGAGGTGGCCCATATCATTTTTAGACAGGTCAAATTTCCAATAAGTTTTTCTGTGTGTAACGCCAAAATCTGTTTCCCTGTAGTTTCCAGCCCTACCCATTTCTGCCCTCTGAATCTTGGTCTCATGTGACATCACTTCTGATAGTTGAAGATTGCTATCACATCCCCTTGAGTCTTGTCTTCTCTTGGGTAAACAGCTCTAGTTCCTTTAACTGGATCTCCAATGGCATCATTTTAAATCCTTTCATTATTTTGACATCTCTTCTAAATACTATTTAATCATTATCCTCCTTTCCTTAAAGTGTGATGCCTTGAGCTGTAGAAAATGATTGCAGATGTAGTTTAAACTGAAGAGAGAAGAGCAGACTGTCACCTCCCTATTGAGAATCCTTTTCTAACACTGAAGTTAAAGAGATTCTATGAGCTTTTTGGGCAGTTGTCACAGTGGTTAATATTGAGTTACTGTCAACTTAAACATCTTAGTCTTAATCGCTTCCCAAAAAGGCATTATAGCCTTCAAATTCTCCTTTCTTTGATTTTGTAGTTAAGGTTTTTTTTTGTTCCTAGTGTACTTGACCCGTTAAAGTTAGCCTTGATAGATTTGCTCCAGTGGTTAAAGCCTGTTACTGTCTTTTTAAATCTTGATTCTGTAATTCACAAAACACTGATTCGGCCCACTGATTGGGCTTCTGTAGGTGAGGCACTGGGGTTGTGTCCTGGACATGCAATGAAGAATAAGGTATGGAATCTACTGTCTGTATTAGCTACTTTTAAACTTTGTCATCTGAAGATTTGGTAAGAATGCTTTTAATGTTCTCATCAGGTCATTGATAAAGACTGAAAGAAAGGGGAAAGAGATGGCCAAGTACAAAGCTCTGAAGCAAGTTTTGCTGTAGTTAAGTGACACAAGGACGTGCAGAATCTCAGCTTGGAGCTTTTTCAGACTATGTATGAGCCTGAGGCCATCCCCTCCTCTTTCCCCTTGAGTGAGAAACACAGTTATTAATGGAGTGTTGTGCATATTAATGAAAATGGAAGTAGATAACAGCATAAGACTGATCTCTATGGGCTACTACCTAGTAGATACAAATCTTTTAATAAAATTTAAACAATTTTTCCAGTTTTGCAGTTGTTTTTGCCCTAACCACATCCGTCTTGCCTGAAAAGTTGGCATGAGATGCTTTGTTACATGCTTGCAGAAGACAAGGTACACTGTTTCTGCAGTACCCTAGAAAGCAATATGATGTGGTGGAAAGAGAAAGGACTCTGAAGTTAGACTTGGGTTTTTTTTGTTTTTGTTTTTTTTTAAGAGACAGGGTCTCACTGTTGCCCAGGCTGGGGTGCAGTGGTGTGATCATAACTCAAGTGATCCTGCCACCACAGCCTCCCACCTCCCAGTTAGCTAGGACCACAGCAGCATGCCACCATGCCCGGCTAATTTTTTTTTTTTTTTTTTTACTTTTTGTAGAGATAAAGTCTCTCTGTGTTGCCCATGCTAGTCTCAAACACCTGACCTCAAGTGACCCTCCCCCTCAGCCTCCCAAAGTGCTGAGATTATAGACGTGAACCACCATGACTGGCCTACAGTTGGTTTTGAATTGACTCTCACTTCATAGCCATCATGATCTTGGCAGGATATTTTAATGTCTGTAAGTGGGCTCCTTATCGATAAAATGTGATTATCTCACTCATAGGACTGTTACGAGGACTACATAGACAGCCATCATATGTAAAGCTCCTAGCCCAGTGCCTGCCACATGTTTGTTTAATAAATATTTGCTGTTGAATGAATAGATGGTGCTCGATTTATGTCTCTTTCTTTCTTTCATAGTAACAGTCAAAAAAGGTAATAGTATTAATTTGACATGAATTATTTTGAGAACCCATGCTGTCTCTGAGAGCTAACTACATTTTAGAATTGCTTATAATTGAGATGTATATTCTAAAAATAAAAAGAATTCACTCTAGAGTTTTGACCGGGATTGACATTTCTGGAATTCACTTTTTACTTTGTTGAAAATTGTGATCTTTGCCATACTAAATTGTTCTCTTTTTCCAGAACTTCTCCAAGTTTACTGATAATTATGGAATAATCTTGTAGGTAAACTCTCTGAACTTTATAGAGTTCCCAAGCTCTTTTGTGTGATTTCTTCACTGATGTGAGCCTTTGACAGAAACAAGGACAATCGGAGTGAGGGAGTTACTGCTATTTCTCTGGAATTTATTAAGGCACTACTGTTGAATCTAAACAATTCAATTCAAGAAATGTTTATTTTATACCTGTTATATGTCAAACATTATACTAGCTGAGGAATATAAAGATGAATAGGGTACCGTAACCATCAGTTACCTTTCTTTATTCTTAAAGGATTGTGCCATTTTGATCATAACCACTTCTTTGGTATGTCTTTATATCTGTGCTTCTGGGTGAGGTATCTGTTTTTTCTTATTGAAGGTGCTTATTGATGATTATGTACTGTAATTTAGGTGCCTTCTATCACTTTTGACT